AATGCCCTGCGCGGGGGGGGCGGGGGGGGGGGGGGTGGGGCGTCCAAACTTCTACCCCTAAACACTTCAACACTCCTTTCAGATCGTGTTTCACAAAAGTGAATACAGCAAACATTCGTTCTTTATTACAATCACTTAGACAAGCAGCTTGTTGTCGATCTGTTTTTTCTTTAAAGAAAAGAGTTCTAATTTGCTAATACATCATCGATTATCTCTACTCATATCTCATCAGCAATTATGTTTATTCAATTTAATTAATTTTTCTCGATATTTATGTTAAAGATTTCGTCTATAAAACTATTGGCTTTTGAAATCATGGCAAAATAAATAAATTATTTAATAATGAAACACAAATGAGTAATGAGGAAATTTCCATATACTAGAGTATAAGTCTACATGCAATGTATCAAAGATATTAATAAAAGTATTTCTGATTGCCAATTCACTAGCAATAGCCTTATGTACAATCAAAAGATACAAATATAACCATGGATTTCATAATAATAACATGTGAAAAGAAACTTACCTTCAATATCATCGAAAACCTGCCATACGCTGAATAAATGCTAATAAGCGAAATTCAATGTAATACATGAAATATGATAGGATAAGTTTTAAAGATCATTAATTAAACAATACGTAAATTGTTTTTTTGTCCCTTCATAAAACACCAAAACAAGCTACTTTGAGCATAAAAAGTACTCGAAGACGCTGTAAAAGACACTTTTGGGTCTGGTGAACATTAAAAAAGTTTTTTTTTTGTTTTGTCATATTGTTTGAATGAGTATATACTAGTATATGCTTTCCTCGATTATTAAACAAAGAAACAAGAGTTTCCATGTTATTAATAATTAGTTCATATGAAATTAAATAAAGAACTCGTTAATATGATCTAATATACAGTTTGATTATAAATATGATTTGATTTTGTTTTTTAATCGATATATAAACAAAAAATAATAATCCTAAGCACGTTCCAAACAAAATGAATTGAACAAAATCAACTCTATCTATCTGCGATATTTAAAAGAAGGAAAGTTTCATTTGGAAATACTTCTTATAATTTTTTCAATAAATATAAATTAAATGTGATTTTTTCAACTCAAAGAAGAACGACGTCAGTGTGTATGAAAAGAAAACTTAAACCCACATGCATCTGTGATTTTTCTCGATTGTAACTCAAAATCATGATATAGAATCGAAGCTACCTGATGAGATTCGTAGCTGAGTGGGGGCTCGAATTAGTGGCTTAGTTCTTGAATATACCCACATGCACACGCATACTTGCACTTTCTTAAAATAAAATGCCTAAAATTTAAATCCTCTTTGAGATTCGGTTATTGCTTGATAATGGAAATATTAGTATTTGTTTCATGCTTATTTCTTATTGAATACATTCAATTAATTGTTGGGGATTTATGAATTGAAACTTGAAACTCCATCATGAAATGAAGTTTATAAAAACGAAGGTTTTTTTGTTGTCTGCATGATCATTGTAAAAGTAACCTCTAGTTCCAACAAGGATAATATTGCAATATGCATTATTTTGTAACTTTGTTAACTGTCTGTTTTTTTTATTGTTTATCAATAACAAATGGTAAAAATGTTGAATATCTGCCTGACTTTGAAACCGACACTATAAAAGGTAAAATTAAAATATAAAATCGGATGTATTGAAATCTAAGTATCGATCAATGAATGCATTGAAAAGATGAATAAAATATAATCATCATCCAAGTATAAAAGATCGCTTGTCTACTTGTGTGTCTATTAAATCAGATATGAAAGGATGGTCGTCCAGTATAGTTGATTTTGAGATACTTCTTCGATTCCGTTCTGATATTTTTCTCTCGCTGTGTTACACCTTAGTAATAGATATGCCATTTTACTTTAAAATGTACTTTCAACAGGGACAATGTGAAACTGTGTAGTTTAATCACATCTCTCATTCTTACTCAGCACTATTCTTTGTAAGAACTGTAGCTATGAACGATGATGACATTGACTCGGTGGTGATAGGAGTTGTGATTTAAATGAACATGGTGAGATAAATCGTGATAGTATTGGTGACAATAGTTGTAATGATTATAATGATGATCACGAGAGTATCAATGGTGGATCTAGTCACTACAAACTGTAGCAACGTTTTATCTTTCCACTAAGTACCAATGAAACGATATATTCATAAATACTTATGACTTGCAATCGCCAAGATGTGGGCTTGATCAATACCTAGAAAATCTTACAGTAGTAGTAACACGCTGCTCAGTTTATTTAGCTTATAAGTCCTCATTCGGAAAGTACAAAGTCCTAACGTATTTTCGAAAAACCGTTCATCTATACTAGAATCATTCAGTGAACTAAATACAACTATACTTATATCACTTTTAAATTGCATTCTTCTAATTAAAAGTTGATGGAGAACAAAGGTCCTTATTTCATGGTATGGATGCAACAGAACAAGAAATATTTACAATTATTAATAATCATCGTCAACAAAATGGTTTACCATTACTTCAGCCATCTGTTAATCTTGCTTATGTTGCTCATACACATGCTATTGATGTTATTGAAAATGATCCGGATGTTAATGGTGGTAATATGCATAGCTGGAGTAACAAAGGAAAATGGAAACCAGTTAGATATACACCTGATCATGCACAAGCCCAGTTAATGTGGAGTAAACCATCTGAAATAAGTAATTATAAATTTAATGGTTTTGAAATTTCATTTGGTTATG